ACTGAAACAAGAATTTCTATGAGTGGGGCGGATTTGAATCGTAGAAGGACGGGTTTAACTGGATTTGAGAGTTTGTCACGAGTCCGATAACCCACCCACTCATACGTAACTAATAATCCTGCTCAATGCTCGTACAGGAAAGGAGTGAAACCCCTTTGTAAGTCGAGTTTCGAAATTCCTTTCTTTTGTATATTAATGGGATATGTTGATATCAGGCTTGTATATCTTTTGTTACGTCGATTGTACATGTTTAGCTTGAATTAGGATATTTTGTATTTGTTTGTTTGAAGAGCTGATGGAGCCAAATCGTATGATATTGAACGAATTTACTCGTAAAGACGATTCTAATCATTTCAATAGTCAAATATGAGCACTTGCTTTAAACAGGATACATGTCACCTCTCAATTACTATCCAATCAATGCTAACATGCACTCAACATTTCTTTTTTGAGGATTGTATATGAATAAAGATTGACGACATATAATTGTCTTAATACTAGTAATCGTGTTATAGATCTTGGGAGAGTCAACGTCACCATCCGCGACATTTGATTGCAACCGAGAGATGTATTACATGTTCTGATACCATTGTTATAGATCTTGAGATAGAGTTGTCAATTGATTGGAATCCGATAAAATTAATGAGAGATGGATTTAGGGTCTGAATCTTCCAATAATCCCGATTAACTAAATAGATCAAATATGGATATAGTCAATCTGATCCAGTAACAACTCGATCCGATTTGTTATAAATAGTGGAGTTGATTAAATATTTTCATAGTTGACAGATGAGTAATTAGATATTGTTTAGTTAATTAATTATGATAGGTAATTGCCTAATTGAGTTGGGTCCAATATGTATCGATCTTTTAAATTGTTATATGTTTAGTTTTAATTGAGTTGGATTTATTTTCAATTTTTTTTTTTTTGTCAACGGTTTGACGTTTGAAACGGTTTGCAAATTTTAAAATCTAAACCAAACCACTTCGAAATAATCTGATTCGGTTCAAAACTAAAACATTGATGGATTAATGTGGACTCAAACCAACAATTTCCAAAAAGTGGTTTAAGTTCGATTTTATAGTTTCGTTGTTCAACCCTAGTTATCATCAATAATGTCCTGTGGGGTGTAGTCTACAATTGCTTACTTGTTTAGATCGTCAAGAGTTAATGAAAAAAATATATATTTTTTAATATTTTAGTAACTTGAATATCTTTTTATTTATAATATTATTACGGTCGTTCGATTCCTGATTAAATTCTCCTTCATTAATATTCAATATTTTACTTCTTTTACTTTATTGATGAAATTTTGTCAAAAAATTAATTTTAAAGAATTATTCTTATAACAAAATCCATTCATGATCTTAAATAATTTTTTAATTGTTATTTAACTACAACAAATTGTTTGAAGGTAATATTTAAATATTTTTTCTTTCTTTATTTAGTAATTCAAATTTATTGAGATATTTACATTGATGAAAAAGTCCACTGTCAGCGTTAAATTTATTTGTTATTTAAAGACTTTTCCATCAATAATAGCTATTGCTTATTTTATTGCCAAAATTTTCTTTGAAATTCAAATCAGACATTAACCTAGGAAAAAAGAATTGATCGAGCCCAGTAAGTTAGAGATTACTTGCTTCGCTTCATAACGTTAAGGGGATTATTCATTTAAATGAGGGAAATCTATTAGGAATGCAATGTCTTTCCATCCCCATAAAGGAATCATAACAAACTGTTTGCCACAAGGGAATCCGTTATAGCAAGCAGGGGCGGACCCAGGAAAGTGATTCAGCGGGAGCGAGACAGAATTATGTAAAAATTATGGATTAAAAACTTAAATATAGACTAAAAAATTATAATGACTACTTTGTAAATGCCAAAAATTAAAGGCCAAACGGGGGCAATTGTCCTCATTGGGCCCTTAATGGGTCCGCCCCTGATTGCAAAATACTTTTCACTTGATGCGATCCAATTTTATATCTTTTGTGATTTCGACACTAGGAATCAAGGGGCTTGTTTGAGCGTTAAGTTTTGGTCGCTTCACAAGTGACAGTTGGACTCCTCTTCCATCGCAGCTTTCGTCCTAGAGGGGAGGGGGTAGTAGGGTAGTCTCTTATTATAACCGACGTCCAAAGTAAAGTGTTGAAAAAATACAAGAAAATAGTAAGATTTCTAATCTAAATTGAAGGAAAATAGATCACCAGACCATAATAAAGTAAAAATAATAAAAAAAGGATTTATTGATTATCATAGAATGAAAAATCTAACTAGGAGTTTTAGATGGTAAAATTTTAACTTTATCGAATCGGATGTAATAAATACAGTTTTAGTAACTTTTTTCTACTACATTGTTCGATCATTTTTCATTTCGAAGAAAGCCGCACGTTGTTCGCCGACTTAGGATCACATGCTGAAAATGGATCGCAAAGGATAGCGTTAAATTGGAAATTCGTATTCACGGTTTGAGTTTCGTGCTATACTGTTTCTAAGCCGGGACACATTTCTATATTCACGGTTTGGGTTTAAAACCTGGGGGTCGAATAGGATTAAAAACAAAAAAAATCCTCAACTTTTCGAGGTGAAAAGAAGCGCGCGATATGAAGATCGTCATTGGAGAAATTGGCTGGTTGACCGGAGTCCGAACCACTGTCCGAGCCACCACGCGTCGGAGCATGCATAGGCCTGGAATCCAGGCCTCCGTTTCCCCCATTCTGTTCATACATACAGATGCATATATAGAGAAGAGAGAACTCATGTCAGCATACAGACAGAGGGTGTGTTTGTACGTTGCATAATTCAGTGCGTTCTTATCCTAACTTTGTCTCCATTCTTTTGATTGTCCTTTTTAGGCTGGAATTGCTCTCAGATGTGAAGAAATCCTTTTCAGGCTGGAATTGCTCTCAGATGTGAAGAAATAAAAGTTTGTTCTAAATTCTCTTTCTTCACTTCAGATTCAGACCACTATTCCAGCTTGTTGATTACAGAACTGGTATGGCTCCATTTCCCTTCTCTCTCTCTCTCTCTCTCTCTTTGTTTCTATTTCGCTGATCTGTGTTCATCGAAATTGCATGAGTCTCGATTATGGATTTACCCCCATTTTTCAAACCGAAACATCAATAGAAATGCTCTATAGCCCCCTGATGTGAATAGATTTTGTGTTCTGTGGTTATGTTGAATTGGGAGGAATGGAAGGAGATAAGGATCAAGAGTGATTGAATAAAGAGAGGGGTGGAATTGATGCAATGGGGGATCCAGGATCTTATATTAGCACGAAAGAGGAGCCCTGTTGAGGGGCGTTTTAAGGGTTCTTGGTGAAATTTTTGTTTTTGTAATTTTCATATGTGATTCGCCTAACAGGTTCCTTGAGACGGTGACAGAATTTTCCAGGCTCTACTTAGAATATAAGATAGAACTAAGAGAGATGAAAGTCTCTTATAGTGAGAGAGAGGATGGTGAAAAGGGAATTGGGGTGGGGGGGTGGGGGTGGGGGAGGCAGCATGTGCGGTGGGTAAGGTATTGGTAGTTGAAGCTGCTGATGATTGGAGAAGAATGCCTTCTGCAATAAGTTTTTAACAGACGTATGATGTCTAAAAAAAGCCTTCTAAATGAAAACTTTTAAAATTTGTTTTTACTTTGACATGTGAAGACGGAATGATCTAAAAAAATTTCCGTTCTGTTATGGTTTTGTAACTTCCCTTGTTTAGTAATATTTACAAGGCCTATGCAAACGAGGCCATTCAAGGGTTGTTGACACCATTGATTGAATTGAAACCAATCATTGATCTGGATTCGGATCTGCAGTCTCTCAGTTTCCATCATTCTGGTTGATATCTATTTTATTTTTAGTGTAATGATGTGATTACATTTTGGTTTTGGCAACGTATCATCTGCCTATTGGTGTCAAAACGGGTGGCCGACTAAACATGTTAAGCGTGTAGCTTGTGTTGAAGATAAAATTTAAATAGTATACATGAGGTTTTATCTTATTGTTTAAGTTTTGATATCAAGTAGTCCAACATGTTATACAAAGGTCTTAAGTTTAAGTCTTCACGTCGCCCATTTACTGAAAATTCTAGAGGCTTTAATGGAAAAAATAAAAAAGCACGTGTTGAAGATATGATTTTAAATGGTATACATGTGGTCTTAATTAACAGAGCTTGAGATCAAGTGATTCAATAGCCTTCTCGTGAAAACCTGGATTAGTGGGTCTGCTTGACCTGTAAGGAAGCCAATCATGCCTGGCCCTTCCTGGCAGGAAAAGGAATTGGCCCCTATCGGCTAGTTCAGGCCTCGGCATTTTCTACTGGGCTCGATAAGGGCCACCTGGCCCGGCTGCACTTCTCATTTTGACACCTCTGATCTACAGCCACACACCAAATTTCTAAAAAAAATATAATAACGAAACTTTGTTTCTTTTCGCTTTCTCTTTTACTGCTGTGTTATTGCATGTGACAGTTTTGCTAACTTACTCGTATTTTTTATATTTCTCGGTTATGGATTGGAATTCTTTTCCCCTATAGAGTGCTTGGTATTTTATTGCAAGAAATTCTGTATTTAGACTTAAAGACCGCTTTTATCAATTGTGTAGATACTTCTCTTTTTTTAACATATTACACTTGCCTTTTCACGAGTTCTTTTATCATCTTTTATTGCATACGATTTTTGTTAGTGCTTTGCTTTTACTTTTGGGTTCAAAACTCTGTGTATTCTTGTTATAATCAAACCTGTAGCAGACAAAATTGTGTTGGGCCTGGTATTTATATGAACATTTTTTGATACAATGATTTTTTATGGCTTTTAACCACATGGACTTTTTTGCTGCAGTTCCTTGAAGGCTGGGCTTATTTTCATACTTGACTCGTGCAAATCAGATACTCTTGACAAGCAAAGCCAAGATATTGTAAAATAAGGATACCAAAACATTGCGCGTGACAAACAAATTGTCCCCAGATCAATCCCATCAAAATTTCTGTAGTCAAATACAATTTAGAAGATGACGTCGAATCAACTCTTTATCAACGTTAAAGACCATGGTGTTACAGTAGATCCACTGAAGAATAGAGTCAAATGTAATTATTGCGACAAAGTTGTTGGTGGCTTCAATCGCCTTAAATATCACTTGGGAGGCATTCGGGGGGCGGTGACCCCTTGCTTAGAAGTTCCTGTTGATGTGAAGGAAATGTTCAGTAATGAGGTTTCTCTACAGAAACAGGTAAACTTAAGCAAGGAAGTTGGAGAATTGTACTGCCCGCCCCTTCCTTTGAGGAGGAATAGGGGCCCCCAGCCAGATTCAATAAAGTGCAATATGACAAATCTCACCGACACGGAGGGTTCTTGGACTAAACAGCATTGTAATAAGGACTGTCAATCAGATAACAGTGTGACAGAAACTGTCCCTTCTCCCAGGAGACTTTCAGAGATGCCTGCCAGTAGCACAGGAGATTCATCATTGAACGAATCTAAAAAACGTATAGGTAGATTTTTTTATGAGACGGTGACTGATTTTAATGCTGTCAAATCACCTAGCTTCCTCACAATGATCAACACCACCCTCGGTGGTGTAATTCCCAGCTGCGAGGAGTTAAAAGGGTGGATCCTCGAGGATGCGGTAAAAGAGATGCAAAATTATGTGAAGGAGATAAAAAATTCTTGGGAAATTACTGGTTGCAGCATCATATTAGATGGTTGGAAAGATGAGAAAGGTCGAGACCTTGTCAACGTTTTAGTGAATTGCCCAAAGGGTGCAGTTTATCTTAGATCGTCCGATATTTCAGCTTTTGTTGGGGACATTGACGCCATGCTATTGTTCCTCGACAGGGTTCTGAATGAAGTTGGGGTCGAGAATGTGGTTCAAATTATTACATATTCGACATCAGCCTTCATGAAAGAAGTGGGAAAGCAGCTGACACACAAGCATAGGCATGTTTTCTGGACAGTGAGTGCTTCTACCTGCTTTGAACTTATGTTAGTGAAATTCGAAAGTATGAGTTTCATTAGAGAGATATTGGAGAAGGCCAAAACGATTACACGATTTGTTCAGAAGCATCCGAGTGCCCTGAAACTTCTGAGAACTTATACTCGGGTAGATAACATTTTAGAGCCTTCCAAGATTAGGTCGACAGTGCCCTACTTAACACTTGAGAATATTGTTTTGGAGAAGAAGGGTTTGAAAAACATGTTCGCTTCACCTGAGTGGAAAAACTCAGATCTGTCAGATTCCTTTGAGGGAAAAAGAGTCGCTTACTTGGTAGAAGATCCTACTTTCTGGAATGGGGCGTTAATGGTTTTGAAGGCAGCTATTCCTATAGTGCGGGTGTTATGCTTGATAAACAAGAACAATAAGCCTCAAATTGATCTTATATACGAAACAGTTGATCAAGCCAAGGAAACAATCAAAGAGGGGTTCAAAAACAATAAAAGCCAGTATATGCCATTTTGGAAAGTAATCGACGAGATTTGGAACGAGCATCTCCACAACCCACTTCATTCTGCTGGTTACTATTTGAATCCGTTTCTATTTTATTCAAATGATTCCTACTCCGACCCAGAGGTTTCCTGTGGTATGTGCTATTGTGTCGTCAAGATGTCAAGTGATCACCGAAATCAAGATTTGATCATGGATCAGGTTGATGAGTATTCAAAGGCAATGAGTGCTTTCAGTGAAGGAAGTGAACCTGAATGGCTATCAGATGTTTCGCAGCTTTCGCCAGGTTTCATCATTGCATTTTCTGCTATTTGTCCCCATGTGCATCAGTGCATGTTAGGCCATGCTTAAAAAGTTCAATCATAAGAAGTAAGAGCATATAGGTTGTGTTTTAAATTTTCTCTAGCAAGATAGTGAAGATTTAATTTCTGGCGAAGTGAGTTTTGTTGTGAAAAGAAGTAAACTTGAAAATTATATTTGAGAAAATAACATAAATGTAAATTTTACTTACTTTCAAATACAATAAAAAATATTCTTAAGTTTTAATATAAATCATTTTTATTGGTCGAATTTGAAATAAAAATGAGGTAAGAGTTAGTTTCAAAATATGAAACTTCTTTATATAATAACTAAGAAAAATGCCACGTCCAAACATTTTTTAAGCAGAAAGTTACTTTTTTTTAAGCCTAGCCAGACATGCTCTTAAGTTACAATATATCCTTACCGTCATACTCTGATGGCAGTACTCTGGTGGACGAAATACCAAGAAAAATACCCCCAGTTGCAACAACTGGCTATTCAAATTCTTAGCCAGACCTGTGACGGAGCATTGAAATTTAAGCTCAAAAGGAGTTTGGCCGAGATGCTACTCACCAAGGGAATGAATCTCATAGAACAACAGAAGTTAAGAGATCTGATGTTTGTGCATTACAATTTGCAGCTACAGATTTTTGAGTCGAGCGAAAGAAATTGCATCTCTGGCAATGAAATTGACACAACAGATGATTGGATAGTTGATGTAGCGCAAGATGATGACGTGGTGAATAACGGTGAACCAGCATTGATGGTCTAGGATTTCGGGGATACAGTTGATTCCAGGGCAAGCAGTGTGGAAGGGCGAACGGGCAGGCTTTAGCCCAAAAGCTAAACCTGTAGTGGTGGTTATATAATAATTTTTATCTATACTAGTCTGTTGGATATATTAAATATATGATAAAACCGAGGGAGATTATGTAGCAGCAGTCTCTATAATGTGTGAGGTATTATGTTGTTTTCCTTTTATTTGTCAGTAAGATGATATATCAGTAGTCGACCTGGAAAGACCTTTATAATATGGTAACTAGTTAGAATGACTGGTACTGTTCTTTTTCCATAGTTAAGAGTGGATTGTCGGTACATTTCATGCTTGACGTGGTACTCATCAGACGGAATAGTGCGTGTAATTAAACACAAATCTTTTCCACATCATTTCTTTGCATTGAATATCTCACTTAGTTCTAGCGTGTACAGATCCGTGCATGTGCACCTTTCATCTTATTAGACTTTTCTTGAGTCTAGACAGACGGCGTGCGTACGCAAGAAGCGATGCTGTTCGATGGGCATAGGCATAAGATGCACGGGGCAAGGCAGTACTCCATATTCACATTTCAGATCAAGATTTATACCGTAATTGGCATACAAAAAAGTTAATTTCTAACTTTATACCAGACATGACATATTAGTCCATATACACACAATTACTATAACTCCCAGCACTTTGTTTTACAATTTGGAGATTCATATGAACGAGAGAGATGCGACTGATTCGAGACTTCAGTTTTCAGATCTGGAACCTGCAGTGTGCCCATCTGCCAGCTTAGTGGCTGCACCAACTGTAACACCACAAATTTTATAAATCCAGAGCTCATAATAATTGAAATTTGCTAACAGAATAATTCAAACATTACTAACTTTTAAACGAGTTTCCAAAAACAAACTTCAATAAATGCAAGAAGGCTAATACCTTGAAACTAAAATTTGATAATAATGTCAAATGTTCAATTAATTAAAAACATTCAGTAACCTACGTACAATTCCTATTCACCGTTTTCAGATTTAGATTTTCATTCATTCAAACATGACATACCATACCAGAACATCACGCAAACTTGGATGAAATGATCACTCAAGGAATTTACTATTTAGAACCCTATATCCCATAGGATTTACACTAATTGACTCAAAGGTCTACCTCAGAAGGATTTACTTAAAATTGACCTAAAAGTATCTGTACAATTCAGTATATAAACATTACGAAGAACAAGAATTTAATTAGTAATGCATTCAAAGATATGTACTTTGGGTAGGGTAAAGGTCAATGAAATTCGAACTTTACAATAACTTGTTAATCAAATTAGAATTAGAATATTATAACAACTTATTAATTATCGAGAGGACCAAATATATTCCTTCAAACTGCTGGCCCAGAAGTTATCCACTAATCTTATAAGCCTTTGCAATTATTTCTTGTATGTTCTCTGCAACTTTCATTTCTTTCATGCCGTTTTCTCTTCCATTTTATTTGAACAATGTATAGCTAACTTCTTGAGTGTCAATCATTTATTGGTACGTACTGAAAAAAAAATTGTTTCGCCCTCCCGTGAAGAAAGGAGATTTGAGTTAAAGTTCGACCTATGGAAAAGAAACATGCAAATGCAATTGAAGACAATAGAAATTACACACTACTCAAAAATTTGAATTAATTTATGAAGATAAACAAACACTAATACGAATTGGAAATCAGTTGACACCAACATTTCCCATTTACAATCCCCTTCTTTACAATTTTTAATCACTATTTTCATTTTATATTCCCCTTATGCACTCCCTTCTATTTTATTAATTTTGGTCTCATGGACACGAAAATGATAGAAATTAGTTCTGGTCCACAATCAAATATATAGATATTTGGTATGACAAGTAAGTAAGAAAATCAGATGAATGAATAAATACTTTTATGTGTACATGCGCAAAAAACATGTGTACCTCATAGTTTAGAAACATCCTGAATGACTTGATAGGATATCTCTCAGTGATTGAAGGGGGCAAATTTGAACCACCAAACTATCAATTTCTTTGAACCTCTTCATTTTTTTGCAGCTGTAATTTCATCATTTGACAATCAACGCTGTCATTTCTAGAAGATGAATGCCATTTAGTTGCCTTGCAACACAGAGAATTAATGGAGACAACATATAGACAATACATGTTAATCGCATTGGCGTACATACTCCCAAATATAGTATCAGATGCATATCCACAAATCAACAGCAAATACATTCCTGATCCAATGAGTAATTTATAGAGGCTCCACCATACTTTTTCTTAGCAAATATATTAACACAGCCTATGTTTGGCTCATGTTTATAAAAACTCAAACAACTTTTTATCAACACATTTTGAGAGACCAAAAGTACAACCCACATATCCCACTCATTTTTTATCTATTTATAATTCAAAACCGTTTATAAATACTTCCCTAACATTTTTTAAAGTAACATAAGAGATTACAAAGTATATGGCACAATAACTCTTTAGGTGCATTACTACTCTAAAATTGATTCCATTATCCAAATCACCAACCAAAAGTTAGAGAATTACTAAAAAAAAGACTTAATAAATATTGATGTTTTAAAAGACAAAAATATTAAATCACTTGAGCTTTATATGGAGTTGAAGACTTTGATAAACTCTGACGTGAATAAATTTGGCTTGGTTGTGGCAGAGGCCATTTCATGATCTTTATACGTGTGTATTTCGTGATTTGACTTGTACTGATACTCCAGAGGGCTACGACATGTTAAATCAATTCCTTTTAGATTTATTGAAAAATTATTTGCCTTCGAAAATGAAACCAACAGCCTTCCTTCCTGAGACTTCAATAATTGACACCGTAGCTTCACATAACAACCACAAGGAATTTGCATATACCAACTTATTGAAATTAACATGTATCCAATATTTTTCAACACATCAAACATAAATGCAAATTCATTCCCTAAACAAAAAATCCCTCAAAGTAAAACCTCAATAAAAATAGTAATTAAAATAAGTGAAGAATTAGCAACTTACCCATAAATGCCACTGTTACTCATGTCAATCCATCATCCTATAGCTCTTTTTCACCAAGTATAAAATCTTCACTACAAATTGGAAACTATGAAACTGGCTATATTTTACCGAATGATTCGGTAAAACAACTACTTGACTGACTATATTTCACCAAATGGTTCACTAAAACAACTACTTGACTAACCAGATAGCACATGAAGCTCAGGCATATTATTATGCCATTGTTTAGTCTCCATTAAAATCAAATTTTGAGGAAAAATATATTTTGAAATAGTGATTTTTTGAAGAACATGTAGTTAAAAAAGAAAGAAAAATTATGGATTTACTAATATTATTTTATTGGAGAATGTGTGGTTGAAAATAAGAGAGAACAATGCATTTGAATAAAATGGAGCTCAAACATGGGCTAAATCATCCAAATACATATAAAGATTGCCTAGTGACAGCAATTTTCTCATCAGAATCAAACTCCAATAACAGTAGCTTCAACACTGACTTTATAACTTATTAGGGCTCTCCTTCCACCGTCACAATGTAAATTTTAGCTTTCACGAGAATTAGAATGAATAATATGATGACAATAAAAACTAAAGATAAAAAGAACAAAATATTTATATGAATACACCAATACCTTGTGATTGATCAAGACCCACCAATATCGCATGATTAATTTGATGTTCAATGGTTGGGTTGCCCCAACTTTCTTCACTGTTTACTTGATTCATTCACTGTAGACTTCACGCCATTCAAATTTGTCCTTTCTAATTTCAATTTCTACAGTTGCAACATTTTTTTATAAACCGAACATAACTACCATCCCTGGCTCTTTTATTATCCTTAGTAGCACCCTTTGCTGGTGGAAAAACATGCTCGCCTTCACAACAGTTGAAGTGACATTTTCTGTTTCAATGCCAATTTTTCTTTTCCTTTCAGAAGTATTCTTCACAATATTCTTTTGTGTACATTGTCATTTGCTGCTTCAACCTTTTCAATTAGACCAAGCAAAGAAGCCAATGTCTCTTTCCAATATCTAACCACGGCGTCACTTGATGACTTTCCCCAATCTGTCAAATCATGAAGCCACTTAATGGTATCTACATTTTCCAACATTATGCCAGAGTTTCTAGAAAGCCTTTCAAAGATGAGAGTGATCTCGAGCAGACGGATGCACGCCATCTGGAAAAAGAAGAATAGTGAATATTAAATGTATTCAAGTCCAAATCCAGCAGAAAATGAGACCAGAAACCCAAATTACATTAGTGAACTCTGATTCTAATAATTTTTTGTCAATGTGTCAATGATTAAAACTACAATGATGCCATCAGCTATGTTCCCAGGTCAAGGCGGAGAGTCTCCTAACAACATGGTATGAAAAAACATTGGTGAGGCGCGCCTTGACCAAGAGGCGCATATCTCCTGCCTCAAGGCGGTTGTGTTGAGGCTAAAGTTGTGAGGCATACGCTTCTATAACTGAGGCGCATGAGGCATGAGGCGTGCGCCTCACATGAAATATTTTTGTTTTCGAATTTATTAGTAAAAAACAGGCCTGACACTTCTTTAAAAAAAAGGCCCATTAAAAAGGCTTTTGCGGGCCCAAAAAAACCTAAAAAACTAAGTGATATAACATATATGCAGCCAGAAAATCAAGAGAACTGAAAAGTCAGAAATAAGAGATTACCGTCTTCTTCATCCTCTATTCTTCTGGGTTCTGGCCGGCTTCATCAGACATCAATCATCAGGTATTCTTCTTCTTAGGGTTCAGAACAAATCCTGCATGCATGCAATAACCACATTCAATTTACGCTCTCCCACTACTGACAAAGACATGGAAGCTAACATTAATTTATTTACCATGCTTCAGTAGTAAAAAACATTGTGCAGATTTAGTGAGAGGCAAAAACATAGCAAACCTTTTGATACTTTTGTTTTCAACTTTCCAGAATCTTTTTTTTTTATGTTCAC